AGCAAAATGGGTGCTAATGGATTAAAAGCTGGCTTGGAAGGATTCGTAATTGAATTATTTCGATAGAAATATGTTTCCGGTAAAAAGATGAATAATAAGAGAAGTCTTATTGTTGCGAATGTTGCTATAAACCAAAACAGTGATCTCCAACTGATGTATTGGGTTAGGAATCCTCCAATCGGTGGTCCAATTACTGGACCAATGAAAAATCCAAGATAAAAGATTCCAATCGCATTTCCTCTTTCGGTTGCGCTGTATATATCACTAAGCGTTCCAATTGAAAGACATTGAATGGCTGAAGCAGAAAAGGATTGAAGTGTACGAAATATCATTAAACAATATATATTCTTTGACAATGCACATCCAGTATTATTAAAAATGCATCAAATAACAATACTTTTCTTGTTCCTTGCAAATCAGAATATGACGTCCAAAATAGTGGCTGATAATTAAATACAAGTGCAAGTTTAATTTTGGCGACGTAAGTAAGGTATGTAGATAAATTAAATCAATTGGTATTTTATTTACCGCAATTCCGTTAACATACAGATATGACGCGACGGCTGTGTTCACTAGCGTCTCCGTAGTTCTTAGATCTTCTCGTACAATCAATATCGCCGGGTAAAACGAACTAATATTGTGAAGAAAATAAAGATTATATATATATATATCAAGCAATTTTATCACGTGTAATTTTATTTTGTACTTACGAACCATTATATATGTCTTTTTTAAAATGTTGTAATTTGATATTTGGTGAAAAAATGAAATTTTTTTAGGAAATATTTGACAATCCCACTAAATATGTTATTCGGTAAGACCGTTCACGTGGCTTCAATCTTGAAAAAATAATTGATAATAGTAATAAATTTTTACAAGAACTCGATCTTCGACATGTTTCTCTTGAACTTTTTTTTTGAATGTTTGCCAATTTTCTTTGCCGATCCTTGTCGTATTGACCTCTACCACAGTAACGGTTGTCTGGAGTAAGATAAGCTTGTTTTAAGAATGTATACAATTATTATATTTATATAATTTTATTTCGTTTTTAAGATGAGGATTTGAAGTCGTATGTTTCAGAATGTCACTAGTTTCAACAAATTTGATCGAGCTTATGGGAAAGTAAAAAATTCTCCAAATAAAATTGTGATGGATTTTTTTGGCGGCTTAATTTTCTCCTTGTAACCTGTTCATTCTTTAAAGTTGGTTCGACGTTTCACTTTTTATTTTAATAAAATGTTATATATAATATTAAAAATTTTGAAAAGTTAAAAATTTATATGAAGTACGTAATGTAGTACACGAAAAACTACATTTCGGGAAATTATTTTTACTAAATAAAGTATCATGTGACATTCCACCTGACATCATATCACGTGTATAGATCCGCAAACTCATCCCATAATTTGAAATTTTCTCATTTTTTTCTATAAATTTAC